CATTGTGACTTTTAGAAAGCAACACTATATTCCACTGGGCTATGGGAAGTGGGTAAGATCAACACAGGTCCCGCAAGGTCAGCTAGGCACCCATTTTCAAAAGTAGATTAAGGATGGGCTTCCCTGGTGGTGCAGTGGTTGATAGTCCGCCTGCCGATGCAGGGGACACGGGTTCGTGCCCCGGCCTGGGAGGATCCCACATGCTGTGGAGTGGCTGGCCCCATGAGCCATGGCCGCTGGGCCTGCGCTTTCGGAGCCTGTGCTCCACAGCGAGAGAGGTCACAGTGGTGAGAGGCCGTGTATTGCAAAAAAAAAAAAGTAAATGAAGGAAAAGAATGAAAATGTTTGACCATTAAATGTATTAATTCTCACAACAAACTCATCAGGGAATTTTTTCCAATTTTTATGTGTGTAAAATACACATCTTAACCATTTTTACTTAAACATTTCATCAGTATTAAGTACAACCACCGTCCATCTCCAGATTTTTTTTCATCTTGCAAAACTGTAACTCTATGTCCATTAAACAATAACTCCCATTCCTCTCTGCACCCCACCCCTGGCAACTACCGTTCTACTTTCTATCTTTATGATTTTGACTACTCTAGGACTTCATGTAAGTGGAATCAATAAGTAATTACTGATAAGGAGGGATTTATCTCTATCATTCTTATATTCATTCTCTATAAGGCTTATAGTTTTTTATCCCTCATTTTCATAGGGGAAATTATCTTATCTCTATTTTACAGTTAAGAAAACTGAGGCTTCAAGTAATTAACTGAACTACTCAAGGTCACCAAGAGGCAGACTGGGAATTTTTTGACTCAAGAGTCCTTTATTCTTCTCTCTACTGTGTGCCATTATGTTAATTACTGGGAAAATGCAGACAAGCATAGGACATGGTCCCTGCCTTGCTTCAATGGGCAACAATTTTCTTAGGAACATTAGACAGACACATTGAGAGGATTTTTAGAAGTACAGGGAAGCCTGATATACTTGCTCATTGGAACAGAGCACATATCCTATAAGAATTTGAACCAGCTCCTGTTATGCAGTCTTGCATACTATAGGGTCCCATGAATGTTGCTTGTTGAATTAATGCAATTTGAAGAGAATTTGAGATCCAGCCCTGCTCTGTGGGATCTACATTCCACAGCAAATGGATTTTGCATTAGATAATAAGCACTGTAATAATGTGTACACAGTCTGACCCAGAGTTTTCCTAATGAAATATCTGCACTAGTAAAAATGTTTATCCATAAGGATGTTCATTGCAGTATTTTTTTTTAATTGAGTGAAAGATTCTTTAAATTGTGTAGTGCTTTACAATTTTCAAAAGTTTCACAAAGATGATTTCATATAATCCCATGTTGACCCTTTTTTTCTACTATGCCTAAATTGCTCCTCCCTCCTTCCCTCTCCCCACTGGTAACCACTAGTTTGCTCTCTATATCTCCTTGCAATATTTTTTAACAATAGTGAAAAAGTGAAAGGGCTGTAAAGATTCAATAATAAGTCATATATGTTTACAGTGGAATATTATGAAGCTATTTCAAAGTGATATTGCAAAAGAACACTTAATAACCTAGAAATATTCATGTGACTAAAAATAATATATATTTACTATATATATTTATATATATATAAATGTATACATATGTAACAAATATATTAAATATATTATACATGTGTATAATATATTAAATATATAAATTTATATATATTAAATTATTATATAATATATATATATATATAAAATCATATACCCTTGTATGTGAAAAGCATTTATTATCACACATATAAAATGATCCCATTAAAATATAGATATATACGGTTATGAGTGTGAAAAGTTATATACCAAAATATTAGTGGTGATTATTGGTTTACTGTAGAATTTTGGCTAATTTTTATTTCATTGTGCTGTTCTGGGTCTTCCTAACCATGTATAATACCTGTATATTATCTTAATAAGTAGAAAAAATAAATTTTGCTTAAAGATGAATGCAGTGTCAAGCACAAATCTATCTCTATCATTTTACTGCAAAGAAAGTCATAAATTGGGACAAGAAAAGAAAACAAACTCTCATTATGTCATACTGACTAAATATACATTTATTTGAGACTGGAGAACAGGCATAGAGTCTTTGATAGGGATCATTTGGTTGCAAGGAATAGATAACTTAAGAAAAAATAAATCCCTTTGTAAGATGTAAAGTATCAGAGAAAGTATAGCCCAGGCCTCATGAAGGAACTGGAACAAAGAGATACAAAGGGTTTCTGAAGGTGAAGTAGATATTCTCTCTAATTCTCTCTCTGCATGGTTTCCTCTGTCACTCTTGGCATATCTGCTGCTTTCTTCTCTTGTTCTGGTATGACTTTCCAGCTGATTAGCAGACTGACTGTCTGAGCCCCAAGTGACCTTCTAGTTCAGCTACTCAACAAAGACTGTCCAGAGTTTCTGTTGATAGTTCCAGAGTCACATGACAGAGAAGATGATTGACTTAGTGTATATCAGTTAGTTTTTCTCTATAACAAACTATCTCAAAGTTTAGGGACTGAAAACAACCAAATTTTTAGCTCCCCAGTATATGGGAAGCTATGGTCTGTGGGAAATTCTTCTGGTCCAGGCCAGACTAAGACAGTCAACTGGTGGATCAGTCGTGGAATGGCCAGCCTAGGATGGCTTCTCCTGGGATGGTTCTCCTCACTCTGGATCATCCTCCAGCAGGCTAGCCCAGGCTTGTTTGCATGGTGGTCTCGAGTTTCCAAAAAGGAGTAAGGACATGTGCAAGCCCTCTAGAGGCCTACTCTCAGAATAAGCATGTTGTATCCACTACGTGCTATTGGCCAAAGCAAGTGACAAGACCAGTCCAGATTCAAGGGGTGGAGAAACAGACGGCCCTATCTTGATGGGAACAGCTATAAGGTCACATTATAAGTAGTGTAGTTACAAGGAGTGGAAGAATAATAGTCATTTTTGCAATCTGCCAGCGACTCAGGCTGACACAGCCTCCATCTTGTAGCTATACCACATTTACAACTTTCCACATTGCCCGTTGATTGATGAAGCAGAGGAAGAAAGAGACTGGAGAATCTTACATAAGCTTTTCACTGTTTCGTTTGTCATGTCCCCTCACAGACCATGGCCAACATCAGCACATGGGATCCACCTTACAGCAAGATGGTGCTATAGTGAGTCAGGGGAGTATTTTGGTAAACAATGCTGTCTCTGTCACAGTGAGAAATCTACAGAACTAAACTAACTGATTATTCACAAGACTAGTGCCAGAAAGGTGGAGGGGCGGGTAAGGTTAATGCTATAGAGCAAATATATGAAAACCATATCTAATGAAGTTGTCAGAAGTTACATGAATCCCTTAAAGCATGGGTCCCCAACTCCTGGGCCACGGACTGGTACCAGTCTGTGTCCTGTTAGGAACCAGGCTGCAGAACTGGAGGTGAGCGGCAGGCGAGTGAGCAAAGCTTCATCTGTATTTTCAGCTGCTCCCCATCACTCACATTACCTGAACTCACATTACCTGAGCTCTGCCTCCTGTCAGATCAGCACTGCATTAGATTCTCATAGGAGTGTAAGCCCTACTGTGAACTGCACACGTGAGGGATCTAGGTTGTGCACTCCTTATGAGAATCTAATGCCTGATGATCTGAGGTAGAGCTGAGGCAGTAATGCTAGCTCTGGGGAGTGGTTGAAAATACAGATTATCATTAGTAGAGAGGTTTGACTGCACAGGGACAATAATAAATCAATTGCTTGCAGACTCATATCAAAACCCTATCTGTGAGTGGTAAGTGAAAACAGGCTCAGGACTCCCACCGATTCTGCATTATGGTTAGTTGTATAATTATTTCATTATATATTACAATGTAATAATAATAAAAATAAACTGCACGATAAATGTAATGCACTTGAATCATCTGGAAACATTCACTCCCCCAGTCCGTGGGAAAAAATTGTCTTCCACAAAACCGGTCCCTGGTGCCAAAATTTTGGGGACCGCTGCCTTAAAGAATCTCTAGGGCTGGGCCCAAAGGAGTCAGAGTAAGCAGGTAGAAAATCCAAGTAGCTCAGCAAGCCATAGCCCAGAAGCATTCCATCCAGACCCACTCAAAGTCTCCCTTAAGTTTTCAATCTGCTCCTAGAGCTAAGTCAACCCAGAAGACTAAGACAATAGACTCACAGGTAGGAATCAGTGTTCTAGAATCAAGTGTTGAGAAGTTCTAAGGTCATAATCAACAAAATGAAGCTGAGCATCAAGTTCAAGAGAAAAGGAGGGAAAGAAACCCCAAGCAGTAAGGTTCAGCTTTCAGGGGCTGAAGCAAGATGGAATAGGAAGTCTGTGAAATGGGAAGCTTATATGAATCTCTTTAGCTTAACACTGAGGCCACAAACTGCAAGAAAGTATCAGAGCTCTGACTCTTTTCAGTTTCTGGCTGCAGGGGTTAGAGAGGGGCCTAAACCAAGACACACCATACTGAATGCTTGAGACTACAAACCTAAGCCTTGGTCTCCCCCTAAGGTTTGCTCCTATTCACTCATTTTAGCTTACTTGTCTCTATTTTGGCCTTTGTAGCATCTCATCCTTACTAACTGCTTTCTCCAATTTCTCACACATAAGATTTTAACTTTTGCAGCATCTTTACATTCCAAATATTTATGGTAAGAAGACAAGTTAATTCTTTATAAGTGCAATGTCCAAAATATTAGTCACAGTTGATGAGGTTTCCTTTGAGTTCCTACCTCAGATTCCTAAATTATAATGTGGCTTATGACTCACAGAAAGTTCCATAGATGCCAGATAAGGCAGAAATGCTCTCTGGGGAGGCTGTCACTCCCTACTCCACATGTGGAATTAGCCTAGTGTCTTCCTATCAAAAGGAAGCAAAAGGCATTGGTCTAAGCACCATGCTGGGTTGAGTGAGAAATTGTGAGAAATGGAAGGAGGAGAGCCTTGTTTGACCTGTTGCTCATTGTCTTGCAGGTCAGTGGGACCATGTACAACACTGGAAGACATGTGTCCCTGCGCCTGGACAAGGAGCACTTGGTCAACGTATCAGGAGGGCCCATGACATACAGCCACCGGCTGGAGGAGGTCCGGCTACACTTTGGTAGTGAGGATAGCCAAGGGTCAGAGCACCTCCTCAACGGACAAGCCTTCTCTGGGGAGGTATGTGAGGTTATTGAAGTACTACGGGTAAGTGCCAATTAATAAGATTTGGTGCTTATTTATATCCAAGGTGTGATGACAGATGGAAAGACTGCTCTTGTATCTATGAAATAAGAAGGTCTGTGCTTCCTTTCTCCATCTGTCTTTTGCAAGTTGACATAGAAGTTTATAATGAGCTTCCAGTGTTTTCCAGGGAAGACCACAGTGAAACCTGATATTTCCTCCTGAGACATTGGTGCAGCTCTCTTGTGACTAATGCCCTAAGATATCGCCAGATCATTATTTCAACCCTAAACCCTCACCTTACATGTACATCTTCATTTACACCTATCTATGCAATCAGCCCCCTATATGCCACATACGTTTGCATAGATTCCATAATTCTCCTTTCTGGCAGAATGGGTCTTATTTGCACAAAATTATTATGTATAGCGAAATAAATGTCAGGGAACTAAATAGTCTGAGTTTCTGCAGAATGTGCCGCCATTAATGGTGAGTGTCACTGTGTCTATCATCAACCCAGACAGAACTCAGGCCACATCAGTGAGCCAAACCACACCTTCAGTTATAGGACAAGAGCTACAATTTAAACAAATATCATGTGTGCTATGACATATGACACTTGATAAGCAGGGTGTAGTTAATTTGACCTCTTTTACCTCCCTTACACTTGAGGGTGGTTATCAACTAAAGGTCAGGTGTCCTTATATGCTAAATATCTTATAACTAGGTTTCTGTTTAAGAGTCCTCAATAAATGATGTCAAGAAGGCCTTCAAATAACAGAAGTATGTATCTCACTATTGGCTTGGTCTTTTTAATATTTTTAATCAAGATCATGTTTAAACCTGGCATTGTTTTTAATATAGTAAGGCCACACACTGAGAAAGAGATCCACAGCTGAATAAGTCCAGTGACCAGATTTTAATGATCATTCAAAATGCATCAACTGAGAACCTACCTAGGCACTGTGCTAGTTACCAGGGATATGGATATATATATATATATATATATATGATATATATATATATATATATATATATCATATATATATATATGACATAGTTCCTGCCACAGAGGAGCTCAAAGAATACTATATTCAAATCACTGAAGTATAATGCCATGCTGTAATGGAGATGTACAAAGGCCTTGGCCAACTCTAAGGAAGAAGTGACAAATTTTTCTTGAAGCGTGCAGGAGAAGTTTCACAGAGGAGGTGCCCTTTGAACTGGGCTGAGAAGAGAAGCAATACAGAACAAGTTTAAGAACATCAGCTTTGGCATCAAAGAACCTGAGTTTGTACCTCCTGCTGTGATACACAGTAACTGTGTGACCTTGAGATGGTTACTTGATCCTTCTAAGGCTGAGTTTATATACCTCTCCAGGTTGTTTTGAAAATTAAGTGGGATTAAAGATGTAAGGATCACTAGAAGTACTCAATAGTTGATAGACAACAAAGATAAAGCTGGAAATGAGGAACAGCAAAGTCACCAAGGTGTGTCAAGGCACTGTGCATGGGGGAAGCTGCACGTGGATTTCATCTGTGGTCTATTAGTAATGGCTGCATAGAGGACCGGGTTGAACAGGCATATGAGTCTCCTTCCTGAATCTGTAGGGAA